CTCTCCCTTGGGCTGCAGGCTCTCGGTGAGCCCGGCCTGGTCCACGCCTGGCCTGGTGGCTCCCGGCTACCGCCTGCGCCCCGACGTATCTCTTGTTTCATTTTATTTGTATTTATTTATCTATAGGTTTGGCCCGAATTCTTGTTGTCCGGGTGTTAAACATCTGCCTTGCACGAGGATTAGGGACACGGACTCGGTTTAAATCCAACTGGAAGCAGCTAAAAATCGGCCGTAATAAAGAGCCTCAGGGGAGATCGCGATTTGTCTGGAAGGGCTTGGCTGTGCTGCGGGCTTGTGAGTGCCTGGGGTTTCGTTTTCCTGAGCCCCACACGAGGTAGGACTCGGAGCGTCGGTCCCGTGGCTTGAAACGGGAGGGGAAAATGCAGGCCGGTCGTGGGAGGGTGAGGTGTAGCTACACGGGATTTCTCTGTTTTATGCAGTTTGAGTTGAAAGCACACCTGCACCTAATAGTCAGAGGTGGAGGTTTATGTCTTCGGTTTCTTTTAGTTACAAACCTCTTCTTCTGAGCTGCTTTCTTTTGGGTGTGGCGGAGCGGGAGGAGGTTGGGGTTTAAAACGCCCCTGTGGTAATGTAGCGTGTAGCTGCTGTCTGTCTGTCATGGAACAGGGTGTTCTGCCCCAGGGGTCTGCAAGGGCCTGTCGCTGACAGCCAGCGTGGCTCGGCGTCAGTGCTTCATGGCAAAGGTTGGTTGGTGCTCGGGCGGTGCCAGGGGCAGGGGAACGCCTTGGGGAATACTCGAGATCTCTCAGTGGGCGGAGAATACGTTTTTCTCTGAAACACAAAGTGCATGTTACACTGAGTAGATGCTTACAGTACTGTAAGTAAAATAACATGGCCTTTATTTTGTGCATCCCCCCTGTCACTGTAGCACTGCAGACAGCACAAGCAATAATAAGTAAGGAGCCCAGTGGTTCCAGGGGAATGAAATGAGCATTTCATAGCGTAGCTTTGGGGAGGGGCTGCTCTTCCTTTCCCTGCTTTCAGATCCCCTCCTGCTCATGTATTATTTTTTTTTCCTCCAGATTAAGCCACAGTTTTTCTAAATCAATTAAAATATGAGGGTGCTTTCTGTGACCTCCAAATGACAATTTTTTTTGCTCTTTGCTTTTGGAGCATTCAAGAAATTCCATCGACTTTGTTTAATAAAAAAAAAAAAAAAAGCTATGTTTTGTTAAGCAGTGAGAAGGAAGGAAATATATGGGTTTGGAAAGGACAGCATCACTGCTCTGCAGTTGTCTTGTCCCATCCCCATTAACATGGCTCAGCTGGATGGTGGAAAAGTGGAAGGAGATCAGGGTTAGCAGTGGCTTCAAGTGCTAAATCTAGGCATGACTGACTTCATCTCCAGATGAACAGCACTGCAGGGTAAAGTGTTGTCAGCACAACTGGCATATATATGCACTGCTCCAAAGTAGCTAAGATGGCTTTATTTTTAAATACAGTGATTTTTTTTTATTTATTTTTTTTTTACCATTTAATAAGGTTGTGGAAAATAGAAAATAGGCCTGTAAGCAGACCTTTTTTTACCCTTATTTCTGAGGAGTCACTGGTCTCATCAAAGTCTTAGAGTTGGCAGAACATGAGCTTGTTAAGAACTTTTAGTCAATGACCTTAGTGAAAAATGTAGAGCTTTTGAAATACTATTGCTGTAACTGGGGGCTCTCTCCTGCATCCCAATCCCAACAGGCACAGCAGGTTCCAGAGCTGGAATGCTCAGCTGTTGCTGTGGTACAAGTAAACACAAAGTCTTTTAAGTTTTCTCTCTTGCTCCTGCCCATGAATACTGCACTCATTGCTGATGCTGGTGTTTAATAAATTTAATTCTGAGCAAGAACTGTGAGTCTAGTCTTTAAAGAAGGTTGTCAGGAAGTTGTGTTGGGGCTTTTTTTTGTCTGTAACTTAATTTTTTTAGCATGATTTTATTTTTTCCCATTTTCTAGTAATGGCCACCTACACTTGCATCACTTGCCGTGTGGCTTTCAAGGATGGTGACATTCAGCGTGCCCATTACAAAACTGACTGGCACAGGTACAACCTGAAGCGTAAAGTTGCTGACATGCCTCCTGTCACTGCTGAGAATTTCCAAGAGCGAGTTCTGGCACAGAGAGCAGTAGCAGAGGAGCAGAACAAAATCACTGCCACTTACTGCACGGTGTGCAGCAAGAGGTTCTCCACCTTCAATGCCTATGAGAATCACCTGAAGTCGAAGAAGCACCTGGAGCTGGAGAAGAAAGCTGTACAAGCTGTCAGCAAGAAGGTGAAAATATTAAATGAGAAGAATCTGGAAAAGGGACTAGCCCCAGAGAGTGTAAATAAAGATGAAATGAACACAGCTATTCAGCAAGCCATCAAAGCCCAGCCATCTTCATCTCCAAAGAAGACACCTCTACCTCCTAGTAATGCAAGTGGCTCTCCAGTTTCTAGGGAAAGCACCAGCTTGTCCCAGAGCAGAGAACGACCAGAAATACCTCCACGGCTGCAGTGGTTTGAACAGCAAGCAAGGAAGCTGGCCAAGCAAGAAGCAGGGGAAGAAGAGGGTAATGAAGAAGGTAAGGCAGTAAACACACTGACAGAGAACAGCTTGGGGTAAGCTATGGTTTGAGCAAAAGCTTCCTCTTATCTCTGTAGCAGTGCAGCATTTTCCATCACAGAAGGTCTTGCTGTTGATTTTCAGTTTAACAAAGGAGTTAAGGTTGGTCCCTTAGGTTAAGGTTTGTTTGCAGTCAAGGACTCTGTGTTAGTGTCTGAACTGCCAACTGTTCAACTTAACAGACAATAATGTAGTAAAGATTGAACATAGTCACTAGTATGAGCACTACTTCTTTTCCCACATAAAAAGTCAAAGGAAGTTTCATTTAAAGAAGGCTAATGTAACAGGTTACCCTAAAACTGCTTCTGAAAAATAAATGAACAAAAATTCAGGTGTGATCATTTGCTATTGTCCCAACTCATTTTCTGTTCTGTTGAAGGGAGGTGGGACTGTGGTTGATTTTGTTTCCCTCTGCCCACCAAGACCAGAGGAGAAAGTTTACTCTTTAACCTGTGTGGCATCACTCCTTGGCATGTTGATGTCTGTGTTAAAATGTGTTTAAGAGTTGCTACCCCAGTGGCCTGTTGCTGTGAATACAGCTCTGTGTTGGAGTTCAGCCTGGAAAGCAGACAACTGAAAAGATCAGAGCTTCAGAATTTCCAGAAAAGGGTTATTTTTAACCTGGATCCTTTCAGTGCTGTATTTGACAGTGCAGCTCCAAACACATCTGTTGGAGCAGTTGAATGGGGTGATTGAGCCTGTAGCAAGGGGACAGGTGTGAATGAGGTGGAACTTCATTCCAGCTTCTAAAACCCATATCACATTACTGTATCTGTTACAGCAGTTTTGTGCTCTTGAAATTTCAGTTGCAGTTCATTGAATCTGTTCTGCACGAGAAGAAACATTTACCTCTGAACACACATTGTAACACCTAAAGAAGAAGCCAGCTTTCACCTGTCTAGTATTAATGTGTTAGTCATAAATTGTATTGCGAAAATACTCAGTAGGCCTCTGAATGTTAATTGTTCTTTAAGTGTGTGAACAAGAGTGTGTTTACCCTCACTGCTGGAAACGAGTATTTTCCTGATGTTACCAGAGTTGTTTTCAGTGAGCCATGCTTGTGCTTTTGTGTTGTGGTGAATTAAATTTAAGGCCTAGAAACAGCAGTAAAGTGTTAGTAGTTGAGAAAACGGTGGGGGGGAAAGTATCAGATCTGACAGCTTTTTTATGAGCAACCTTGTGGTTTGCTGTACATCTTAAAAATAAATGTCTTTCAGTGGCAATGGTAAATTCTTGCACCTGGAAGTGACTGTGTGGCACTTAGCTGTAAGAACAAAAAATGCAGTATGTTCTAAATGGCTTTTTCTAACTTATTTGGGACTTACTTTGCTTGGGAAAAGTATAAAATCAATATCTTTTTTTAAAACTTCCTTTAAAAGACTGGGAAGATATGGATTCTGAAGAAGACATTGGCTCCGATGAAGAGATGGAAAGTGTGGAAGAAGAGGAAGACGAGCAACAGGCAGAGGCTGAAAGCATTCCTGCTGCTGGGGCCATACCAGTCACAGACTGCTTGTTCTGTGCCCATCACTCTAGATCTCTCACAAAAAATGTGGCGCATATGACAAAAATCCACAGCTTCTTTATTCCAGACATAGAGTACCTTGTGGATCTCAGAGGACTAATCAAGTATCTTGGTATGCCTGAATGTTCTGTCATTTTTTGTCAGGATAGTTATATTCTGGTAGTGCTTATTTTCATTTGGATATGACACCAAATGTTTTGTTTTATGTTGCTTTTTCTCTGCCTGAGTGCTGTCAGTATTTTGATCATGAGCAGGACTACAGGCTTTCCAGGGAAAAGGAGAGAAAACTTGGATGAGCAAACATGGTCATGTACCCTGTAGGTCTCACATAGTTTTCTGATGTTCAGATAATGCGAAATTTGGGGAAACATTCTGTTGCTAAAGCATGCATATGGAATTTGTTGTCCTGCCTGTGAGTCACAAGTATTTGTCTCTTTGGTTTACAATGCTTGTGAGAGAGCTAAAAGCTAGGAAAAAATGTATCATCCTTCAAGTTTAAAAATAATGATGAGAATAAAATAATTTTGGAGTATTGGATAGAAAAATGTATTGGAAGAAATTCATTATTAAGACTATTGAATGATCCATACCTTGTCACAAGAAATCTTTTAATGGCCAGATTTGTCCCTGATGGGGTCAAGGCATAGGAATAGCAGGGTTATCCTGGAGATTAGGGGCTCAAGGCTCCTCTTTAGTCTCTCTGCCTTCAAGCTGGGAGGGCTGTGTCACAGAAATGTTAATTACTGACTGGGGAGATTTTGTTCAGACCAATAGAAGTGCCAATGTTTCCTGCAGGAGAGAAAGTTGGCGTTGGGAAAATCTGCATCTGGTGCAATGAAAAGGGGAAATCCTTCTACTCTACGGAAGCAGTCCAGGCTCATATGAATGATAAAAGCCACTGCAAACTCTTCACAGATGGAGATGCTGCCCTGGAATTTGCAGATTTCTATGATTTTAGGTGAGGTCATTTCTCTTTGAGTGGGACACAGACAAAAGGACAGTTAAATATTATATTAGAAACTATTATTCATTCTTTAAATTTAGTAGTGTTTCAGGTTCTAGTATTTATTTTGCATTGCTGGTTCCCTACTTTTTTAGGTAATGGTAACAGCAAGATTGGTTGTCTTCTTCTGTAACCATTAGTACTAGTCCTACATTTTGAATTCTGTTTTGTATGTGTGCTGTTACTGAATTGAGATTTCAGTGTACCAGCAAAGGCCATAAAAAGTCATTTTTTTTACCCATTAGCTTTTAAACAGATTGTAGACTTAACACCTACTGTGGGTTTCTTACGTAAGTTTTACTGTGTAGCTGAACAGGACTGCTGTGATTTAGAGGCCTCTTTTTGAACTTCCTGCAATTTATGCTAAACTCTGTTCATTTTGGTCAGAAATACCTCATACTATGGTGACAGGAGGAACTCCTGGGAGCACTCATTCAGTTAGCTGTGCAGTGCTGGTGACCTGCACCCTCGTGGCTTTTCACCATAAGTCACTGTTAAGTGTGCAGCAGCACATCTGTGCTGAGTTGCACAACAGGATGGAGGAAAGGGATTCCTTTCCTCCAGGCTTTGTTCAGGGCAGGGTTCTGCTGTTAGGAACTCCCAGACCAAGGCAGGTGGAACATGACAGTGTTTGTGCTTTGCTGCAGCTGTGCATGGTGGTTCTTTTGTAGAGTGGGTCTGTGGTTGCTTACTATGTTTAAACCATGTATTGCTGCTCTTCCACAGGAGCAGTTACCCTGATCATGAGGATGGGAAAGATGTGGAGAGTCCTGGAAAGCGCCTGGCAGAGAAAGAGTTGGATTATGATGATGACACCATGGAGCTGATCCTTCCATCAGGTGGGCACAGGGTTTCTGTTATAGCTTACTTTCTCTGCACTTCCTATATCTACCTCCAGTACCTGCAGCACAGGCCACTGTTGTGCTTTCCTCTGGGAAGGGAGAAGATACTTTTGCATTTAAGTGTCTTTGGGGTTATGTCCTCACCTTCCATTATTTTCACTGCCAAGTAGTTCAGCTTCTTCAGCATTGATGGATATGTGGATTGGGGCTGTGGATTGCTTTTCCCATTTTACGTCTTCATTATCATGTGGCTCTCGTGGTATACTCCAACGAGAGTCTTCATAGTTGTTTGAGTGTAACTTGGAGAGGCTATAATTTAGGTTATCTAGTGTTAGGGTTTTTTGTAGCGAGACAGCTCCTACCTAGTTCAGTAAACTAGTTCAGTAAATTAATTTATTAAATAGCATTTAGTTTAGCATTTGGCACTCTCACTTGCTTTTCTTTTTTTGTTTGGTGGTTTGGTATGAAGGGACATCAGGCCTTCATTCTGAAAAGTGCTGCTAACTCTGCAATTACATTGCAAATTGCAAATACAAATTTTCCTGAATGTCAGCAAGTGGCTTCACTAACGTTTTTACTTGAAATGACATTGCCTCTCTACATTCCACATACTGCCTTTTCATTCCACTAATGAAAATTTTCTTTTCTGATAACTGCCTGTTTATTATCTGAGCTAAGGCCCTCTTGAACAGCAGCACATTTTGTGTATTTTCTTCAAGCAGCTCTTACAGTAATTACATTAATTTCGTAATAATCCTTAAATTTTTAAGGTTCTGGACCCTTTAAAAACATTTCTCAGCAGAGAGATTTTCCATAGTTTTCACAGTGTGCTTGAGTACTCCATTTCAGAAGCTGTTTCATGATGGATAGTAAGATGTCCCCTCCTATGAACAGGTGCCAGAGTGGGTCACCGTTCCTTGATGAGGTACTACAAGCAGCGTTTTGGTGTGACAAGAGCTGTGGCTGTTGCGAAGAACAAGAAAGCTGTGGGTCGGGTGCTGCAGCAGTACCGAGCCTTGGGCTGGACAGGGCAGGCAGGTGAGTGTCAAGGGGAGGGCTTTGCAAAGGAGGAGGCTCTGGGATGTCTGCACTCTCAATTCCAGAGGTCAACTTTGCTTTACACATCACGGGGTCTATGCAGTAGTTTCTTCCACTCGGTTCATTTTAATTCCTGACAGAATTAAGATACAGGAAATTTGTTTCTAAAATCCAGTGCAGCTTCTGTGCAAGCATTTTCATTCCATTGTTTGTGATACTTGGTATCTTCCTGAGATTTCTTGGTTTCTGCCCTGTCTAAGCCAATACTCTTGCTATTTAAGTCGTGCTTTGACAGAACGCTTTTCCAATTGGGGAACAGTGTTGTGGTCTGTGTCCATTTTTGAAATATAAGAATCACGCTTGGAATGCAAAACAACCTTTTGTCTTAATCACAGTCATGGGTATTTGTGGAGGGAACTGGACTTTCTCCAGAGAAAAGTGGAAAGAAGAGTGCTAGTATGGGAAGGAAAACCTATAGGTAACTGCTGAAGTACGTGGTCAGGTCAGCTGGTTTGCATACAAATTTTAAGTAAGGTGACAGACATTGATCCATCTCTTCTTTCTCCCTGCAGGGGCCATCTCTGCTCAGCAGCGTGACATGCAGTACCTGCAGAGGATGAAGTCAAAGTGGATGCTCAAGACAGGAATGAGTAACAATGCTACAAAGCAGATGCATTTCCGGATGCAAGTCAGATTCTGAGTTCCAAAGAGAACTGCCTACAATTGGTTATGGGAAGGGGGATTTAATGGTTTTGGATTCTCTTATTAAAATGGACTTGGTACCTATCAAATGCTGATGTGTTTGCTGGTGTGACTTCCTCTGTAAAAAGAAGGTCAAGGAACTTGTTGCAGCAGCCCTCTCCTTACAAGGTAGAAATGACCCAAGACACACTTTTGTCATTTATCACAGTATGAAAAGGGTCCTGGTTTATTCTTCTTTACAATTCTGTTATTCTGAGTCCAACTGTTCACTGACTCTGGCTGCAGCAAGCACCTACTGTAGGTTTCCCTTTGAGACTGACTGCTGGTTATTTCCTGCTAGGCTATGACTGCATGTATTTGTTTGCAGACTCTGAATGCAGGCTTTTACCTAGCTAGATTATGAGTGCAGGTTCCAACAACAGGCTCTAACTGCAGACCCAGACTGACCTCATAGCAGTGATTCTCCTGTTCTGCACTGTCCTCCTGGATTGTGCCTTCAGAATTGTGCCTCTTCCTCTACTTCTTCCCATCCACCCCTGACTAGCCAACCCACCCCTTTCAGCTTTATTGGATATAGCTGTGACTCATCTGGGGTGAGGCTGTATTGGGTAATTAACACAGCTGATACTTACCAAGGGCGAGGTCACCTGTAATCCCTTCTCCTACACTTACCTCTTCTGAAATAATGGTGGGTCTAATTTAAAAATAAAATATCTCCAGTGGAACATGTGGCAGAGTAGTCATGACTGAAGGTACATGTATAGTCTTGCTGCCTGTCTTTGTGCAGCCCATTTCTGGGGCGCAGCTGACACTGTCATTTGTCTGAATATCCTAAGTTTCCAATTCTGCTAACTGGTTGAAGCCAAGAGGAGATCCTAGATCTAAATGCTTCAGATTTCAGATGGAGTGTATTAAATGTTTTCTGTTGTGGTGCTAGGCATATTAGCTGGGTGTTTTGGAGTTCTAGCTGGCACTATTGAGGTGAAAATTTGAGAGCAGAGTTTCATGGAAGGCAAAGTAATAATAGTTAGAAGAAATGCACTGATGGAAAACATAACTCCAGGATTAATATTGTCCTCAGAAGCTGACTGTACTTGCCCAATGCTCCAGCTCAGGGCTGGATTAATAATCTGCAGTGTAGTTGTTTTACATTGAATGTAATGAATTTTTACTTCCTGAAAACTGCTCAAAATTATCCATTTAGATGAGTGCCAATCAAAATTTTGCATTTCCTGCTTAAAACTCTGAAGCTACTGTGGATCACAGTGTTTGTTGTTCACACTCAGTGCTGGTGTTTGGTTATTATCATGCCATGACCCAAGACATGTATTGGCTGGAACAGTCAGGCTCTCCCACTTAAACAGGTGAACCGTTGCAGGCTGGTGCAGAGAAAACCTGCATGTTAAAGAGCTGTGGCAGCAGCACTGTGTTGTTCCTGCTGGTGTAGATGTCAAACATTTCCATGACTTTGCAGTTCTGACCTTCTGTAAGGAGGCAGGCAACTCCAGAGACATGGGCTCCTGACACCCTGAATTGTAGTGTGCTGGATACCAAGCGTGTGCCACATAAACATGGCTGTTTCCTTGCCTGTCAGTTCATTGGGAAGGCAGCTTGCTACAGCCAGGTTTCACTTCTGCATTTAGGATTGCTCTGGATTCTGAGTGGTGTCTGTAGGTTGTATCACTGAGAATAGTAGTGAGAGGCTTTGTTAACATTGTATTTTGACTTAAAGTTGTTCTCCAATCTCCCAAAGAGGTAAGTTCAGAAGAAGCAGCACTACTGTCACGTCAGTGCTTCTGAGAGAGCAGTGTATTTATGGGACTCTTAGGAAAGTGATCATTTCATAGTGGAAGTGCACGCCATGTGGGGGGTTTTGTTTTGTGGATTTGTGCTGTTTTGCTCATTAGTGGTTTTTTGTTTCTTTAGTGAAAGTTCTACTGCCTTGGAAGTTTTGCTGTTCCTGCATTTTCTGAGAACAGAGTTTGAGCAGTAATGGAGGCTACAGATTTGGCAGAGCATTTAGTAAGTAAACAGGCTCATAGATTCTAAAAAGGTGATTTGAGTGAAGCGAAAAGTGAAGCAGAGAGAATTTTCAAGAAAGGCTGTGTTCACATCCAAAACCTTAAACTAAAGTTGGATTGATTAATGAGTACCTCCTTCTCCCTGACAGGGTAGAGTTACTGCCATTGTATATCCCTAGCTGGATCTGGTGCACATTTGAATTTACTGTAGGAGGTTCATGTGGGTTATTCATTCTCAATATTAGAGGTAAGAGACCTGGTCTCAGCTATGTGACTCAAGCTATGTGAATCTTCAGACACCATATCCCTTATTACAGTCATGACCTGGCCCAGCCTGTGATTATGGTATGGATTTCTAGCATTGAGGATGCATGACAAATACAGTGCCCTGCTTGTATTTGTCAAGTCCCACCATCTGGCCATTGGGAGCTGCTCACATTGGTTTTTTTTGGAGAATTACTATCAAAGCATCTTATATTTATGGGTAAGTTAGACTGTCTTTACACACAGAGCAAAATGAAATGCCACAAAAATACAGAAATAGAGTGGTTAAGACTTGTTAACCTGAATATTGAAACCTGCAGAACTGGCTTTGAATACCAGAGTAAGTTACCAGTGAGAATCAGAGCAGTATGCAGACTTGAGCTTTTGGAAAACACTCATGGAATATTCAAAACTTACATTAAGGACTAAAGAATTATTTTGGAAGAATCTTGGGAATAACCTATTACAAAATCTTAGTGGTTAAGTGTTTAAGGAGTCTTGGCAGTGAAGGCAGAAATACAAGGAGATAATTGATCCACTGGCAAATTACTTTGTGGTCATAAGGTTCAGGCTGAAGGTAAGGGGGAAGTTTGCCACTCTCCTCAACGTGAAATAGAACCAAAGGCAACTCCTGTTCTTTGTGCAGACTAGCTCAAAGAAGCCTGCTGTTTGTGAAGAGAGGGAGATGGCTTGGATTCCCTGAACAGTCAGTTCAGAAAAAATGCTGGTAAGTAAACATGAAAATTGGTAGTCATTTTGCAGGTCACAGGGAAGCTGAAGGGAGTAATTGGTATAATTTGCACCTGTGATTCTGTCCTATACATCTTGCTGCACTTTAGTCAGAAGAAAATAGAAGTGAGGTATGGGAGCCTACTGGTATTTACAGGAAGAGTTGTACTAGTCAGGTGAAAATGGCTGCCTCGGAAAACCAGCAGAGGGCGTAGGAAAGCTTCTCCCAGAATTGTGTTTACTATGAAAATAAAGCCTAGTAAGAGTGCATTCATGCAGAGCAGAGGTAGGGTGAGACTGCAAACCTCACCACTACCATGACTCAAGATTAGAATCAGGCTTCTGCCTGATGAATTGCTATTAATATCTTTATGTAAGTCCTGGGAGAGCATTGCTGACACAGGATGGCTGGATCCCCAAATATATGGGGATTGTCAGCAAAGTTCAGCGACAGTGCTACAGTCTGCACAGCTCGTAGGTAATTCCAGCTATGTCAAAGTATTTGAGAGTACTTTTGTTAAATACACTTCTCAGTCTTTAGTCTTTTACCTCCCTGTACAAAGGATAGCTGAGGGCAATTTTTTGTTTCCTAAGAGAATTCCAAATTACATTTGTTCCAATCAGGGACCCATGTTTCCAGCTGTGATCCAGTCTTGCACTTGTGCTTCTCTACTCTAACCTTGTGTTTTCTGACTCTTACAGTGGGTAGATTTGAGGCTGTTTCTGGGTACAGTGGGTACTCTGGAGCAAGATTTTCCTCGTATGAGTAATATAGTGGGCATGCTGTTCCTATAGCAGATCATCTGTTCTCAAGTGGTGCATTCATTGTAGGAAAGCTTGGTATGAAGCTTAGAAAAGGTGCCTCATTTTGAGCAAGGTTGGGGTTCTGCCTGCCTGTCCATCCATTAACAGCTGGGTAATGAAGTGATCCCCATGCTGTACCAGGCACTGCAAAATGAAGGAGCAGAATGAAAGAACTGGTGAAGCTGGTGGAGCGCATCTGTACATCTGACATCTCCTTTCAGAAGTAGTTCCTCTGCTGTGTACACTTTAGTTACCTAAAAACAACCTAAATGCTTCTAGAGGGAAAAGCATGTAGCCGTCATCTGGAAGGAAGGGGCTAGGAGTGAGAGAGAAGCATATGGATGTAGTGTGGCAGAGACACAGGAGACTCAGAAACGTAAAACAACAGCTAATTATGCTGAAGCTGCAAGTCAACAAGTATTTAAAGTAAGCAGCCCTTTAAGAGTCCACTATTGACCCTGATTGGTTTCATCAAGGCAAAGGGCCTGACACGTAAAAATGTTTGACTGTTGCCCAGCTAACAGCTGATACTGGAGGGGCATCTCAGGGAGATTCTCCACAGCAGCTCTTAAGAGTTTCTTTTGACATATTAAAACTGAGGCATCCTGTTCTAATTGCCTTCATCTGCTCAGGGCTTTGGCCATCTTCCTCCACACTATCAGCTCAGTGCTGCTGGTGGGACACTACCCTGCAGGGACTTGAGTGGGTTTATACCATCATGGATGGAAGGTTATAAATAAGCTTTAGGACACATCTGACTGAAAAGTAAAAATAAATCTTAAACTCCTTGAGTCTTAATGTTTAATTGCTTTAATCCAACAGTCTAGCATGCTGCAGTTGCAGAATAGCAGTCACCAGACTATCATCAAATCCTCAGCAGCTGGCACAGCCTAGATATTTAAAATGACCATCTAAAGGCACTTCTGACCCAAAGAAAATTTCTGTTCTCTCCCACTGCATCCCAAACTGTCTAAGATACAGCAGCCAGGCACTTCAGGAGCCACAGAAGTGGTGACAGAACACCTGTAACTGGTTTTGTGTTAAGGATTTCTGCACATCTAGTGTACCAGACTAAAAGGCAGAGTGATAAATCCTAGCTGGGCCAGGAAGGGAATCGGAATCACTCTGAAAGTACTTCCCAGTGTAAAGTTACATGACTCTTACCAAAAGCAAAAAGCGATCCATAAGCAGGATTTTTTAAATAATGACATTACCAAGCACGTACATCTTCATGCAGTTCTCTGATGCAAGGAAAAGGGTCATCTAACATT